TGATTTTCTGATTTATGGAAATCTTAATTTTATTTGATTCTGAATTATTTATTTTAATGCTTTAATTTTGGGGAAAAACAGATGCTTCTGGGAATATTATTTAGTTTAAAAGAATATTATTTATTTTTCTTTTATTTGCAATTTTTGTACAAGCTTTGATTCATTGTGAAAAGAAGCAGGGAAAGGGAGGCAATTTTTTTGCTAAGTCATGATTTCGCGCGCTTTGTCCTTTAGAATGTTCTAGAAGAAATTTCATTGTGCAGTTGACCTTAGGACAGGAAATACGTGACAGAAGGGTCAGAGGTTGACACTTAACCTTCGATGTAAGTCATTCAGGTTTTGGCGATTGAGGGTCCGGTTGTTGGCTAAGTGAAGAAGGGCGCGCATGCGCGATCACCCTTATTTCCGCATTCAGGGGTTGAAACGCAAATTTTGCCCAAATTAAGGGGGCCATAATTGAAGCCATTGTGGGAGCCCGCGTTTTGTGAAGGAGACGAAGAAAATTTGAGTTTGAATCACTTTTCGTGCGAGACTTGCTTGGAACTTTTTTAGACGTTACTCTTGAAACTTGCTCTGGGGTTGATAGAAAAGATGTAATTTACGAAGAGAGATGTTTCCCGGCGGGGAGCGGCAAATATGCTCGGCGGGAGCGAGACAACTTACTTTTGGACGTTACTCTTGAAACTTGCTTGAAAGCCATAGAAAAGATGTAATTTACTAGAGAGATGTTTCCCGGCGGGGAGCGGCAAATATGCTCCCCGGCCGCGTTTTGTTAGAAGCGAGACTCACTTTACCGACTGGCTTGTGGAACTTACTTTGGACGTTACCGTGAAGCTTGCTCTTGGGATGAGCAGAACAGCGAGCCGTAATTGCCTAGAAAACGTTTCTGGCCGGGAGCTGCAAACATCTCCCTTGCCGCTTTCTGGTAAAAAGGCGAAATTGAACCGGGGGGTTTGACTTAAGACTTTCAGACCACGGATACGTGCTGGCACATTGCTCCAGTTTCTGTTTTAAGGTAATAACTTCGTCATTATGAAAACGTTACCGGTGTTGACTTAAGACTTGTTTTCAGCAAGCGGATAGCCGTGCTGGGCAGCTTCCTGTTTCTGTTTTACAGAGGTAAAATAACTTCGTCATTATGAACCATTTACCTGCGTGTTGACTTAAGACTTTCAAGACCAAGCGATAGCCATGCTGGGGAGCATGCTCCTGTTTCTGTTTTTCCATACTTAAAAATAGCTTCGTCATTATGAAAACCAGTTACCTACATGTGTGTTTTTCGCAAATCGTTGCCAGACAGGACGATGTCTTCTGAAACTTCCATTTTGTACCGTAAAGATGAGCCCGCCAACGTCAACGCTTATTAGGATACGAGTCCTCACTTCAAGATGTCCACCCAAGATAAGTTTTATTTTTATTTTTTTTGTGTTTTGAACTTTAAAGTAAGTGTTTCAACAACTTCCTTAGAATGTAAAAAAACGTCGAATCTTAAATTAATTCTCAGGCTTTCAATTGTTTCCCTTCCCCTTTTAAATTACCAAGACAAACCTTAAAGTTTTTTTATATGAATTAAAAAAATGTAAAAAAAAAAAAAAAAAAAAAAAAAGGGTAAATGACAAATTGAAGAATTCTCCTTAGACTCTCTGATGAGGTTAAGATTTTATTTTATTGTGATGAAATTGATAAACTGATATTTAATCTGGAAACCTATTACAGTATTTTCTTTTGATATTTAATAGTTTTTCCTATATATCTTGTATATGTTTTTTTCTTATGTTTTCGATCCTCTCACGGCACGGCCCGGATGCAATTTTTAACAACGCAAATGCATTAAAATTCACTATACGATCACTAAAAGTTTGGTAATTAGCAAATTTTAAGAGTTTAGTTTCCTCCCTAAGAGGAAGTAGAAACTTTACGGCAAGTAGTTTCTTATTTAACTTGGTGCCGTGAAGTAAGCTATATAACAGTACGTATACATTAACTCTTTCGCATCGAAGTCGCCCGTAATGCCCGTTCATTCAGGCAACGGCAAACCGCCCCAATGCCTCGTTTATTTTCCACCTAGTGCTTTTTCCCCCCTCCACGTTAGTGGGATGGCTCATTGGTGTCGCAAGTTCATTCTTTTGAAGCAACTACATGTCAATCATTCTTTTGAAGCAACTAAGGGAGACATACAAAAGCTATTGACGTTCGCAGGTGCAATCCGGCCCTAAGGTGAAACTGCACACAATGGATGAAACCGCTGAAAAATCCCCAAGAGAGAAGCAGTCATTTCACTTAAGTAGGTTATTGCTAATGCTGTAGCTATCTACTAGGCAGGGGGAAAGGAAAACTATTCCAAGACAAATTCGTAAACACGGGCGTTTTCAATGTTTGATGAAAACAGATTTGGCCGTCTCTCGATGCGAAAGAGTTAAAGAGATAAAAATAGAGAGCCATACATGCGCCAAATAAACATATGCTTTACACGTCCAAAATTGTTGTCATAGAAATGGACAGAATTTTCTGGTAGACATTATATAAGTTTATTAAACAATCATTTAAAGTCAATTAAAATCATATAGATCATTACAGTTTTATTTTGAAGAGTTCTTCAGATTAAAATATCCACCTACCTAAAAAAAAAAGCTTTCAAATTTTTATATTATGCCCAAAAGGGTGTTTTTTAACATTTTGTGTGTTACCTTTACTTATTAAATATCGTGTTTTTCACACTTAAGCCATAAAATTCAATTCAACAGCAATATCACAAAATATTTAAAAGAGAATATCTTCAGAATTTCTGATACACAGTCTCACCTGTTGGCGATAAAAATGCCCCACCCCCTGTACAGTGTTGCTACTGCTCACTTTGAAATCATTGAGTTTGTTAATCAGAAATTTTTTAATGTCCAATAAAATATGAAACAGATAATTAACAAATTTCAGATCAGGGCTTCCAGGTGCCCATATATGGTGCAGGATTACGTTATTCAAAATTGATGGTTCTAGGTATCATTGCTTTATCACAATGCGAGACACATACATACATTTATGCAGCTTCTTTATTATTTGATTTCCTTCCTTATACGAGGCTCTAATATTTGGTGGCAAAGCCCTTTTGGACTAATGCCCTGTGGGCTTAAAAAAAAGATACAAAGACAGGATATAGATATAAACATAAGGAAAGCAACTTAATTTTATCAGAATGTTAATTAACATGCACACTTTGCTTTTCAAAGAAAAAAGATTACTGCATTTTATTATTATTTTTTAAATATATATAAATAAAAATATTTGTTATTGACTATCCTAATTTGGTACACAGAATGCTAAATGCAATTTCTCATATTGCAATTAATGATATCTGATTTATGTTACTTTTACTAATTATTTACTAATTGGCAGCTTGAACTACTGTCTATTCACCTATTTTTAAAATGCATATCTTTCTCATACTTAAAAAATTAACTTTGTTTCAACCTGCAATTATAAAACTACTTCCCGTTATCTGCTACATTATAATTAATTAACTACATCCTCTGATCATTTAAAAGCTACTTTTACTGTTTTATTTATTTATTCTGCAGCTCTATTACATAAATTATTATAATCTTCTTTAAATGTCACTGGATATTGAAACACTATTTAAATTTGTGATTCTAAGATCAATTAAGAAAAGAACAAATCAATACACAGTCAAAAGTCTTTAATCCGGACGTCCATAATCGGAAATGATCTATAATCCGGACCTAAAAGCTACAAACTTTCTGCGCATGCATAAAAGCCTTATGCCTTTACGCATGCGCATATGCATTTATGCATGCACAAAATATGTTTATGCATGCACGTTTAATGTACACTCATGTCCATAAATTAAGGATAATGCAAAATCAGGCAAAGGAAGAGTTAGAAGCAAAAACAAATTTGACTGATTTGTAAAGCTTATTTATTAAACAAAAGGTAAAGAGCAAAAAAAGATGCTATATGCTTGATATTATTAAAAAAATTATTTTTTTTTTCTCCCTGGAGCAAATTACAAAAAAACCTATTTACAAAAAACTAATATTACATGGTTGGTATGATTGTTAATACATTGTATGTCTCCCAGACAATGCAATACAGTCCATACAACGCCTAAGCATGCTGAGTAACAAATTATCGATCTGATCTTGGGGGATATTACATCACTCAAAAAGCAATGCTCTCCGAAGATCCGGTAGACATGTAGGAGGAGGTTGACGTGCTGCAACACGTCGGCCAAGCATGTCCCACATGTGCTCTACTGGATTCAAGTCCGGTGAGAATGCTGACCAGTCCATACGGGTGATATCCTCCGATTGAAGGCATTAGCTTACGATGTTTGCACGGTGAGAACGGGCGTTGTCATCCATAAACAAAAATTGTGCGCCCATGCCGCCCCGAAACAAATGTACATGTTGTTCCAGAATGATGTCCCGATAGATTTGGCTTGTCACGGTTCCAACTTGAACATGCAGGTCACTTCTGGAACCGAGAATAATTCCACCCCAAACGAGCCCTCCTGCACCACCGTAATGGTGTCGTTCAATGATGTTTTGTGTGTGAAAGTGGTCAGAGACCTCCTTGGTGACTGAGATGAGAGAAAATACCCTACTCGCCTTTCCATGAAGCAACGTAAAAGAAAAAAATATATGCAGTGCCTAATTTTAATTGCTGCATGGCTATTGTTGGGTTGATGATGGAGATTAACCAATTAAGTTCCAGTGAGGCATGGTTCTTTCAAAAGATGCCTTTTAATTAATAATTAGATCTGGAGTTAAATAGGAAAGATGCTGTCAATAGCTATTATTCTAGCATATGTATGCATTTATCTATCTATGATAGTATGTTTCAAAACTAAATTGTGTAGCAATCAAATGTAGGGTTAATTATTTGTGGCTGTGCTTAACTGTCAAAATATTCACTTGGAAGAAAGATTAAATGTTGTGTTTACCAACTTTTGCACTACCTATATTTTCCTACACAACAGTACAAATAAGAAATGCTCTTTTGCTACTGAAATCAAAGTGCACATTATTAGTTAAGAGCCCTCTGACTAAAAAATTATATTTGTATGATAATTTTTTTCTTTGGCTGCATTAAAATCATTCAAAATGTACGCAATAAAGAAAAGAGGCCATCAATAAAAATATATCAAACTATCATGTAACAAAAAGAGACACATACTAGTATCAGAATGAGGAACAGATGCTTTAAGAAGAAAATATCGAAATCCATCGCAAGTGTATTTATTCATTAGCATAATAGGATCAATCACATTTCCCTTGCTCTTTGACATCTATAAATGAAAAACACTTACTTTTAAAAAGCAATTATACTGCTGATCTTCAAACATATTAAAACTTCAAACATAAAATTTTATTTGTACCATGGAATTAAAACAAAACAATAATAAACATAACAATAATTATTATTAAAGTCAAATAACTAACATATGATAATTTATTATTAAGATAATTTTAACCAGTAAATGTGAGAACAACTTATAAAACAAACATAAATGGAAATTAACCCTCTCACTGCATACCTTTTTTTTTATCAAAGTACGTTAAAAAAATTGCATAATTTTTTTTTACATATTTCAAATCTACATATATTTTAGAGTTAATATATACAAAAGATTATACTACATATATTTTAGAGTTAAAATATACAAAAATTTTCTGTAAAAAAGTTTTTTTTTCAATATAGAATTAGAAAAGGTTGTCAGAATACTGAAATTGAAGAATAATGATATAAAAGGAAAATTTTGAAAATTAATATTGGTTAAATTATGATTTATTTTATAAAATACAAAGGTAAAACATATATACTAATAAAAATATTTGCATAATGCAATACTTTGCATATCAATTTTGCACCACTGTCGAACGCTTTCAATAGAAACTGAATTTTCAGATTCATCACTATCTGCAGAGGAATCCGAGAAATTCTCATCAGTTTCGCTATAATTATCTTCAATACACTTGAAATCGGAATCAGAACTACTATGAGTGTCAGAAAATATCATCAGGAATATAGGTTATATCACTTGAGAAACACTTCCTGCCAGGACATCTTTGAGCTCTGAAAAGCGCGTGCAAAATGCTACATTACGTATTCTTGTATATTAGGCAGAAATGTGGACAACTAATGCCATCTATTAGCCCCCATCTAAATAAACAATTAAACATCACAGAAAAGCCAAAAGGAAACCTTGAACGGGGAAAGAGCGGGTTGCACAGTTAAATAGACGACAAAAATTCATCCCTACGGAAATCGCAATTTGCACAAATTTTGCTACTTCTACGCTGCCCGTTGAAATCACGGGATGCGCAGCGAGAGGGTTAACAGGTAGACTGAATTACAGTAGCCAGATTTTTTCTGATTACCATATTCATAAAAATAATTATTTTAATACATATATATACCATATGTTTATAAATACCACATGCACGGTTTTTTGATAATTTTAATCAGAAAAATCGAGGTGCGTGGCTTACATGAAATAAAACAATATAGGTCAGGTAAATGTAAGTTGGTTGGCATAAATTATTTCTTTTTGAAGCTACAGTATCCCCAGAAAATATAACGTTATATGATGCTACTGCACCCTCTCAAATAAATCCCTTCCAGGGATTTGTAGAAGATATACCAGTACCTTCACCAAACTGTTATTTTCTGAATGTTTTTTGCCGAACTTGGCTTCTTAGTCATAACACTGGCAGCAGCACTGAAAAGAATGTACATGGAATGGATGGCCACAGGAAATCACGCACTGACACTGACTGGTCATATCAAGAACACCGAAATAACTCAAATCTGAGGACCGATCAAAGCCGCCTGCACTGAAATTTCACAAGAACTTGTTGTTGAGAACTTCAAAAAGTGTGGAATATCAAATAACTCTACGGAAGTGAGGATTAAGAAGTGTAGGATGATGAGGAAGAAGAGAATACCAGCAGTTCAGAAAACATCAGTGATGACAGCAGCGTAGAAGATAGACAATCTACAATGTATTTCCAGACTAAAAAAGTGGGAAGAAGTGCCATGGTGTGGTAAATTATCTGCCTTTGTTAGATTACCGGTAGATTTTAAAGGATCACTTGGGACTTTTAAATCCATATTTAGTGCAGAGATTGTTGTCGACTGAAGCTATTGTTTAAGAAATAAAATTTTAAATAACATACTTAGATTAGCAGTTTTTTCTTTCTGGCGTAGAATTAAATTCTGCTAACGGATTTATTCTTTCCCATTAAAATGTGTTACTACATACTTAGGCAGGAGCTGCAAAAGCTGCAGGTGGTAGCTCATATTTCTTTTCTGATAACCATCAATTGGTATCATATTTCTTTGTTTCTTTATGCTCGCAATCCAGAAAAGAGATTTTTTCAGTCAATTAAGCTTTCAGTGGGCTTGATGAAAATATGTGTACCAATATTCATGAAAATTTTTTTCTTTTTGGGTGCATCGAAAAAAATCGGAAGCACGTCTTATTTGGTGGTACGTGCTATTTGTGAACATATAGTATTTTTAATTTTAAATAAAATTAATCACAGTACACATTCTTTTCTTACTGTATGAATCCTTAAAATTTTAAAGCTCAAACTTTCAAAGATTAATTAAGTATTGCCTTTTAAAATGAAAATATTCTAAATTCACAAGGAAAAAAATATATTCGAAATAATATAAAAAGAAAAAGTAAATTTACAAAAAATAAACTTGTCCTTTTCAAATGAATCAAATTTTATATAGTTCAATTCATGTAAAATATAGAGCTTTAAACTAAGATAACACATTTTTCAGCTTTATTGTCTCAACAGTTCTAAGAAGTTGTTTGCAATACTAGCTAAGGATAGGTAGGATTAAATTAGCACGATATGAATTTGAATATGATTTCATGCTTATAAAATAGCATTTAAATACCTGATTAAGCAGGTGATTTATATCTTCATGTACCTAGGGATCTGACGCCAAACTCAGAATATCCATGCAAAAATGGTACTTCCTAAATTATAATTCTTAAAATTTCAGAATTTAATTGATAGGAACATATACACTTTGTACCTGGTATATTTTTCTTCCAATATGCTGCTTTAATAGTATGCAAACATTTGAAGATGCATGCATATGCACTTATTTGAGATATTCAGATTAAAATTGTTGAAGTGAATATCAAAATATGGCTTGGCAATTTGGAAGATTAAGCAATATACAGATTCATTACATCCATGAAAATTTTCTACACAGCATCAGATCTTTTTCTTTTTTAGCAATTAAAATCAATCAAAATAATAATTGTTTTCCATTTTTGATAATAAACAAGAAATTTTCTCCCTTAAAAGTAATAAAATATGTTATCAATCAAAACAAATTTTTGATAAATACAACACCTACATATTTTTTACACAGGACATGCTGTAAATAGTTTTATTTTAAGAATAAAATTCACACCACATTTGATAATTCTGATACCTGAAAAACATTTGGCATAGCTCTAGAAGACTGTTTATAGTTACAGTACATAAAAGTATCTCAAAAGTTTTTTTTTTATTATTAAGCTACATAATTCTGAAAACTTACTACACAGATATTTATAAATTTGAATCACTCAAATACTGACCGTTAAGGAACTACTAGTTTTAATTAAATCAAAATTACTAGTTCATCTTTTTTTTCAGTTCAATATAATATATTTTTTATTGTTTGACATATTTGTCTTTAATACTATTAATGCTATATCTATCAGATATACATAATCATCTTTTAGTATTAGATATAGGTAATATCTATCAATAATAACTAATGCTTAAATAATTTAAAAATAATGAGGCAAAAATACATAAATTTCTAAAACCAGTCGTTGATTATTTTCATTGAAAAGGCATTGTTTTATCCTGGACAATTTTCTCAATGTATCACACACAGGTTATCAGATGATTTCAGAAATTTAAAAAAGCTTTTTTGTTATCAATAGAGGTTTATGTGCAGTAATACGCCATAAATTTTCCACTTTTGTTAATGGCACAGCTTAGATACTTTATCCCTCAACTAGACGACCTAATAATGATTATTCCTATTAAAATACATTACGCTATATTTTGTTCAGAATTGTTAATATCAATTCCTATTTTCAACTTGAGATCACAAAAGTAAATCTTTTGAAATAAATCATCACTTATTTATTATTATAGCAATAAGAATGAAAAAGCAAATTACTAATTAAAATATTATAATCTATATGTAAATAAGAAAAAGATAAGTGCAAATAAAAATTTTTAAAAAAAAATCATAAACAAGTTTATATAATATATTTCTTATTTGATAGATAATTATAATATATTACTCCCTGTAAATGGCTTTTCAAAAACCACTATAAAAAAAAAGAGACGGAACCAATTTTAGAAAATGGAAATAAACATTCTTTTTGCTAAAAATAATATTCTCTTTGGTTAAAAAAATTCATCTTCACATTAAAATTGATTTACTTAAAAAAATTATACTTATCAAAGCAGTAAGAAAAAGTTAATAGTGATGGTATAGTGTGCGGTCCACCTAATTTTCTTAACCCTTTCGCAGTTGCGAGATTAAGCAATTTTTGGTATATTTCAGCCGTAAATTTGTAGTGCGAGCTGTGTTTATTTCCACCCACTACAAAATCTAACTGGAATGTGAGCTGAGCTTGTTGATGACCATCAAAAGGTTAATGTTTTAACACTTATAATTATTTTATTAAAGTTTTTCTGCTACTTTTGTTAATATTTTAGTATCTATCTCAGAGTATTAAAATAGGAATAAAACACTTACCTAATTGTGCATTTTTTAATGAATATACTTTTAGATGTGTGTGCATATTTCAAATATTAATATAATATGGTATGTAAACTATGTATTTAATAAAGTTTGTAGAAGATTAATATATTTATGTATTTTGCACCAATTTTTATCCGTGGACCACACATTATACTAAAAACAGATGGATGAACTGCATGCTACATTGACACCAAGTTAATCATATTTAATGACTGCTAAAGATAAATGACAATTCAAAAAATTTCGATTAATTTAAATATAATACCATTAAGATCACTGTAATTACATAAATATATTTATGCGGGACAGACATATATTTATGAAGGGATTTTATTCTTAATATTTTTAGATAAAAACTTTCATACCTTTTCATAATTTACTGTCCAATGTGAATGGCAAAATATCTGTTTTGGGGGTTCATAACCAGCAGCTATTAGAAATGCAGGCCAGTATATAGCATGAAACCTATGTAACATATGCATTTGGAATTACAATAATTTAAGGGTGTTTTTTTAATAAACATGAAACCATTATTAAAACAAAAGTAAAAAGCAGCTTCATGAACATGTAAAATATCAGAGATAGGAAACTTTACTAGTGGATGAAGTATTAAAGAAAAATGAAAGATAATCAAATTATGAACAATTAAGTATTGTTAAAATGTAACTAAGTATTTAGAACTTTATATTTCTTCGATAAATTTAAAATTTTTATTCCCAAATAAAATACTTAACCTTTACACTCATACTAGAAAATTATAAAGCTTGTAAAGCAATTATACACAGAAAAAGGATTAAACTACAGAAGGACATCAATTACTTGAATTTCAGTAATTTGTAATTTTCAGTAAGATGGACTAAAGGCTTTCTTTCCAACAATACAAAAAATTAATTAATAATTATTGTTAGTTTTTTAATTATTAGTTGAATTCTTACAATGAAAAAGCTTGTTTTTATTGTAAGAACTGTAATTTTTTTATTGTAAGAATTTAAAGTTGTTTTTAAATTGTAATTGTTTTTATTGTAAAAAGTTTTCAATAATGATATAGTGAAAATAATACTGAAAATATTTTCTTTGCATTTCTTTCTTGAGTCACATTTTCATATAATGCATTTATTATTTTCTCTTTTTATCCCTCTGAGTGGCATGATCGGCTTTATATGGACATGAGATTTTTCGGTCACTTGGCACATATTAGCTTATAATTTAAGATATTTATTTTCTTTCTTTAATAATGTAAATGCCATTTTAATGAATGTAAGTTTATGAAAACAAAGATTAAAATAAGTAATTATAAAAATTTAGCTAATAAATGCTGTTTAAATACATGTCTTCAATACAGATCCAAAATCCCATACAGCTCAGAAGGTTAAAGTCACATATTATCCTCAAACAATGGAGAATTGAGGTCTTGCATGAAGGCTCCTTTGTAAAATCCTTAAATGCATAGGAATTTGCATTAGTGAGGTTTTTTACTATAATTCAATAACTTCATAAGCAACAATACTCTTGCTCTTCAAAGCATGCAATTGTAATTAGTTTAGATTTAAGATAATTGTAATTCATTTCAGAAATCCAGTCTTTATTTTTATTTGGTACAAATTAAAACTGATTTATTAAATTTTACATCTTTATCACATGCAGTACACATAACTAATCCATCTCAGATCTTTGGACATATACCAAACTAACTTTTCCAATACGAAATAAAGGGAGAATAATTAATATATTTTTATAAAAAATTCTATTGTTATTACTATAACACTTTGTAATACTACAATATAAATGCAGTGGTTGAAAAATATATTGCACATAAATATTTTTTTGCTATTCAGATTAAAAGTAATGTCTTAACAAGTTCTAATCAAGCCTCTGATCTTTGTTTGGTAATTGAATTCACTCTCTTCACAATGTTAGTTGAATTAATAGCATTTTTGTTTTTCAAAATCATACATATCCTTGTTCTTCGTATAGAATATGCAATAGATGATTGTCGGATATGCATGTCATCTTTATGTTTTCAATAATCTCTTTTTTTCATTTCTATATTGAGTGCAACCATTTTCTTCATTGCTTGATTCTTCTTATTAACTTTTTTGAAATTCACTATTAACAAATTTACAAAAAATGCACATGAAAGAGTACAAGGTCATGTTTTAGCTCAGGTTGTTTACTGAACACTAACAAACATGCTGATGCTCATAGGCAATCATCACATTTGCTTAAAACAAGTAAAGAAGAATAGTATGCTTGTGATAACATTTGTGACTCGTCGAGCCATTTTAATTTTTTCATTAACTTGAGTCATATTTCAAACAAAGATCATACACCAAACAAAAATTTTCATATCTAAAGAGCATGCATAAAAAAACCAGAAAATTCTGTCCAATAATATTACTTCAAGTTTCAATTTGCATGCACGTGTTCATTTTATCTCTTTATCATCTATATCATTTCATCTCATCATTTACTCTTTATCATTGCATTTATACAAATATACTCTTCTAATCTAATTTGAAACAAAAATGTCTCATGTCATTATTAAGTGAGATGTGATCGTGTTAACATGACTATTGATAAAGTTAATTTATGACACTGTATTTTGTACAAATTCCAACAAGGAAGAAATGCTACAGATGCATGTCAAAATTTAGTGAAGGATTTTTGTAGAGATGCAGTTTTGGATAGAATGTGCAGGAGATGGTTCAAAAAAGTTGAAGGTGATTTCGAACTCAGCCATGCTCAGGAGAGCCAACTTTAATCGATGATGATATTATCAAGACCATGTTAGAACAAGAAAATTTTACAACATCGGGTATTGCGATAAGGATTGACTCAGCTCAACAAACCATTTAGAACTATATTTGGAAACTAGAATTGGTCTTTAAATATTCCAGATGGATGCCTCATGAATTAAGTGAGAAAAATCTGCATGATCCAGTAGTCACAGGCACATCTCTGATTGCTCAGAATAAAAATGAACCTTTCTTGAATAATAACTGCTGATTAAAAATGGATTATCTAGGAAAGCATCATTATGGGAAGAAAATACCGTGAACCTGGACAACTTGACTCCTCCACCTCTAAACTGAGCTCGAGCCTGAATAAGAGAATACTGTGTATATGGTGGGATGCCCAAGGATCAATACACAACACATTTTTTACCTTTTTTAAGTTGTAAATCTTGGTTTATCATTTTATTTATTGTTGTTACAGATGTATTTAAAAACTCTGCAACTGACTTTTGCATTGGCAGACTTTGTCTTGCTACCAGTGGTTTAACTAGAAACAGGGCATATCTTTTTAGAGTATTCTCTTAGAGTCTTCTTTCAAAGTAGAAATAATGATTAACAGTACTTTCCTCTCCTAATTAAAAATGCTGCTTATTTTGCACCCAGAAATTTTAAAAACCAGGCATTTTACAATGTTTTTGAATTATGAAATAGAAATATTTCTGTTAGGAAAGTGCTAAAAAATCCTCGGCTTGTTTATATGTGACATTTTGAAACAAGAAGAAATTTAAAAGTAGAGACAATATTTCTCATTTCAAATAATAAGCTGTTGTCAGAAATTTTTACTCCAAAATGTTTCCTTTTTCTTTAATGCTTTTTTGAAATAGTTTTAAAAATGTGTACACTCCCTCTGTAGTTTTTTGGATGGAATGTCTTTTATGAGAATGTAGAAGCAACTAGAAAAAGCCTCCAGAGACTTACTTCAAAATATCTTTTCCTATCACATGACAGTCAGCAGGCCATATTATATCCTTTTCATTACAATGTCCAACTGTTAAATAATTAACAAGGGCATCTAACCACACATATATCTATTTAAAAAAAAACACATAAATTATACATATATTTAAGCATATATATATATATATTTAAGCATATAATTATAAGGTTGTAAGAAGAAACGAAAAAAGACCAATTTTGATCAAAATTTTGCGCATTGTGCTGAAAAATTAAGGAAATTAGAAGATAAATTTTAGTACGCATGCCAAAAAGTTACTAAAAACTGCGGCTCCTTGAAAACTCCAACATAAGCATATTTAGTTGCTATGAAATGTATGAAAGAGAAGAAAAAATATTTGAATATTTACAAGTTAAATTAATAAAAAAGCTATATGCTAAAAAAAAAACTAAATTTAAAAAAAAAAAAAAAAAAAAAAAAAAAAAAAAAACAAAAAAAAAAGCAAAAAAAAAAAAAAAAAAAAAAAAAAAAAAAAAAAAAAAAAAAAAAAAAAAAAAAAAAAAAAAAAAAACAACAATTAACAAGTAAAAAAAAAAAAAAAAAAAAAATCAATTGAACGAGGTAAAATAACAGGTATAATAATTAAATATATAAATATATATTTAAGAAGTCAGGTTACTAAAATAAAAAACTTCAAAGGTAATATGCAGCAACACATCTATTGATGAGCACTTCCAGATATGCTAAAGTTCATCTATTTACCATTCTCTTCAGAATTGGTACACATTCTGGAATTTCCTTCTTTTGATTTTCAAGCAAAATGTTAGTAAGAAAAGAAGATATGGAAGTAAATATAATAATCATTGTATAAAAAAAGCTAGCTGAAAATATTTATCAGATAATCGCAATGTTACAGCAATGTTACAAAACCTGTAAATGTGAAATGAGGTTACATGTTTCAGTTTATACTGTTATAGTTAGAGAACTCCATACCATATGAATTCTTTCCATAAGTACTTAAACAATACAAAAGCTCTTTAATACCTTACTTGTATATAAGTAAATACACCATAAACATTTATAACCCACTATATATTTTAATATATCACTGTGTTATTATCTAGTTGCATATACTGTTTTGAATTATTTGTCAATCCCCAAAACTATGGATACAAAGGCCAGCAGTAAAAATCTTTACACATTCTAAATTTGGCTGCCTGTTACCTCCTTATATTCTAAAAATTTTAGAGCCCATAAACTCTGTGGCACAGTGCTTTCCTTAAATTCTAAAAGTTTTGCATATCTCTAAATTTTGCTGTTGAGTGCTTCTTTAAATTCTGCCATCTGATGCAGCCACACCAGTTGCACTATTTCTGGTGTTGGCCCTAATAGATAATATGACAACAAGAGGACAAATTTTACTTTCATAAATAAGTTTATTAATAAAGTTTATCAGTAAATTTAAGAAATATAATAATGGTTATTCCACTAAAAAATGACAATAAAATTATCAGCAATTGGTAAAAACAACTACAACACATACTTATTAAAGTTTTTAAAAAACTTCTAAATCACTTTTAATACCGCACACATTTTAAAGAACACAACATGCAGATAGCACTCCTACAACATGGCATCCTGTAACACAGTTTCACAATAACACAAATTATAAATTGCGAGAATCCTCCTACAACACAGCATCCAATAACACGGTTTTGCTCTAACACGATATGAAAGTTGACCAAGCAATCCGAAGCAGTTTAACAAACTCCATGAAGTTTTTCCATATTGAGCGAAGCACCAACATAGACCACTTTGAAGACGGTGGCCAAAATATAGGCCAGATTTGCAGAGTCTAAAAAAAATGCCTCTGACCCAAATATCTATCAGAGAAATTCTGCCCCTATCACCCTTCAAAGTGTGGGCATAGTCATTGTCTGACAACCTTCCCCGCAACTCGTATGATGACCTTTGCACCTTCACCTTAGTCTGTTAGTTGAAAATTAAAGGCAACACCCTAAAGGAAAGTTCAAAAGACTAGCAGTTTCATGTTGAAATGGCAATTGAAGGGGTGGAAATAACATTAATATTTCCTGTCCTTTTAAGTGAACCTTTCCAAACTTTTGAGTCTTTTAATGGTTAACACATAAGAATCCTTGTTTCGTTAAGTCCTGCCAATTATCTTCCAAGATCCGGTTCCTGTATGAACAAAAGTCCTCAGAGAGACAAGCCACATGGTGGAGACCGACTGCTAAATTTTTAACCAGTAACAATTGAAAATCGTTTCCTTCCATGACCATCAAAATATAGCACAATAGAAACAATACCCAGTCACAAAAGACCACCATCCCCAGATAATGATGAAGAAACCTCACTATTGCAGATAATGAATGATATAAGGTCACAATAAGAGCTCCTAAAAAACATAACTTGAACGTTTGGCTTCCAAAAATTCGAATCCTCATCCACATGGCCTGAAAACAAAAGTATCTCACATCGCTGGTCATCAGTCTGTGTGGAGCCCTGGTGTGTTAAAAAGAATAACTTTTTTGCGTTAAGACAGTTTTTGCATTAAGTTTCACTCCCAAACTGTCCAATAACGATAAAAAAACAACGTGTTAAGAGAAAATTTATTTCTTTAGAAGTAAAGATACAAATCTTAGATCGTCTTTTAAAAGGAGAAATGTCATCTCACATTGGAAAAAGTCTTAATTTGAATGAAGCAACAGTACAGACTATTAAGAAAAATGAAAAAGAAATAAGAAATGCAGCCATTTGCTCAACACCTCCCCTTGACATGTTATTTTGAATCCTCGACAATAGAACTGTTAGTGCTGCAAACAGATAAAAGAATTTTTGCAAATTTTCTCTTCTTATCATCACACAAATGTACCCTAAATTTTGGTTTTCCTTTTTATAAAATTATTGTCTTAGCTATATCTCCAATATTTATTCTCTCTTTTGATTTCTCATAAATTTTTCTGTAGTAAAAATTTCTAACTAAAATTTTGAAACACAATGATATACCAAAACTTAAATCTCTACAAATACTCAATCTCTACAATATTGATTCCAATTATATCTTATTAGTTTTATTCTACTGTTTAAATTATTTTAACATTTTTTTTTTTTTTTTTTTTTTTTTTTAAATGTGGAAGTTTGAAAGCATAAATAACAATACAATTAATATTTTAATGCAGAAAGTAACAACTAAAAAAATATAAAATAAAAACATACAACTTGAGATTCATCCTCTGGAACTGGAATACCCCATGACAACCGAGATCGGGGCCGTGAAATAGATAAATCAGCGAGTCCTTCCCCGATCCACCTCTTTAAATCCTCAACAAAAATAGCAGGATTTATAGCTAAAACAGAAGAAAATTTATTCATTAATAAAGTAATAAAAGCACACACAGCTTAGAATGTCAAAAACACATATATTTAAGGCAGATAAGAAAACAGAGATTATCTGTGAGTGCATGCTTATATCGCATAGTGCAGAGAAAAAGCCTAGGGCTACAAAATTTAGGAAAGATGTTGCCTGTTGGTGACAATGTGAATCCAATACACTTTTTAAAGGCTGAAACATACTTTTTTTCCCACATATTTTTGCTTCATAAACAAACTAATACGGTTTGAACCATAAGACACAACAGGAAAAGAATTCTTTTAGTTAAATTTATCCAGAATCTAACTTAATACACCGATTTTTTGCAAGAACACCCCAAAATTAATCCTTCATTAAATTTTGAAATTTTTAGAGATTAATACAAATTCTTTGCCATCTTTTGAAACAAAAATGATTTAAAAAATATTAATAAGAGATTTTCTGCATTTTCTTTTTAACACACTGTCTAAAAATTTCACTTTTTAGACTGCATGTTTGCAACTTTCGTCCTGTTATTGCCTACTTCCATAGAAACAACATATCATCTATTACCAAAAAAAGTGATATAAAAAAAGGGGAGGGGCTTGAAAGGTTCCATGTTCTAAGTAGTGCATGGTGATGTGATGTAACAGAATTAATACACTTTAACCCTCTGAGTGGCGCAGAATTTTAGATCCGTCTGGAAGACCGATATTTAAACAGCATTTACGAATTTTGTAAATTACTTATTTTAGTCAGTATTTTCATAAATGTACATTCATTGAGATGATATTTACCTTATTAAAGAAAGTAAGAAAGCAAAATATCTTAAATTATAAGCTAATATATGCCAAGTAGCAAAAATTCTGATGACCGGTTAAAGCCGATAATAATTTTTCTTCAAATTTTCTACTTTTATAAATATATGTAATAGTTTGTTCTATACACATGGATTTTCAATAAAATTTTAGTATCAGTTTTTAGATATATATATTTGCAAAGGAATTTAATATGTCAGCCCCCTTAATTTTACATATTCTTCCTAATATTTCATTTTATAAGTAGATTTTCATAACATTATTATTATTATTATTATTATTATTATTATTATCAGTAGAATTTCAATAAGAATAAAATATGGTTTCTACAGGAACAGTTTTATTTCTTTTTTTATACCTCAAAAGTAATTCATTATTTTTAGTAGTAAGTAATGTGTTATGCAAAATTTACATTCCCTCTGCATCTGCAGAGTGCTGAAAAGGTGAGAAAAGGAGAAGCAGTGATTGTAGTTGTAACTCAGGTGAGTGTGGGTGCAGAATGCTAACATGATTTTGGTGGCAGAAGACATTAATGATAAAAGATGATGTGAAGTGTTGAGATGCAGCAACCAATGTCTGTCATACAACAATCCCCTAAGTCTTTTTTATGAATGCCAAGTGCCTACATATGAAAGCTAGTATTATGTTTATTAATCAAGCTCTTCTACAAGGCCGTGTTTCCCATGAAGCAGCAATATCAGCACATTCATCACGATCAACATTACCACTCACTTCTCTGTAGCACAAGAATGTGCATATAAATTTCTTTATTATATGTTAACACACGAGCATTATCCCCTAACTCTTCACTTCCAGAAAACTCCTCATTTGTTATCTAAAGCAAAGATAAATTAAATGTTATATTTTCCCTCACTTAAATCCTGTGTACACTGCAACAAAAAAAAAAGGGGGGGGCAGTTCTATATCTTCAGTTCTACAGGGCCGATTGACGAAATTGCATTTTTCATGCCTCGAAAGTGCGACTTAGGATATGTATTAGATTTATATATAGCATTGTTCTATTATAGGTATTTTGACACAAAATCGGATTTTTTCTGAAACAACATGCCAAATTTTTTTTTTTCCATATTTCAGTTCTATGACTCAAATTACACCAAACTACCAAGTTTTGTACAAAATCACATGAGTAGTTTTTAAAAAATTAGTTCCCAAAATTTTAGCCCTCAATGTTAATACAGTTTGGTATATTTCTTTTTTTATTAAACTTATTTGATTCTTCCTTCCACATTTCAAAATTTAGGTTCATTCTCAATAAAACTTACCCATTTTTTATGACTTATTTTAAAATAATTTTTATTAATTTTTCAAAAAAAATTTTGAATTATAATCTATAAAAATTTTACCATCATCTTAACGTAGACGTATTTCTAAGCATACCTGCAAAAAATTACAGTTTTTTATTCAAAATTTCCAAAAATATACATGAATTTATATATTGGCCCGTTTTGAAATTTGGCATATTTGTTGAAAGCAATAAAACATCAAATGTGGTTGAGACAGTTTGCTAAAATTATTTGGAAGTAGAAATGAAGTGACTTTTTTTTTTCTGCTCATGCACAATTTAAAAAGGAGGAACGAGGTAACTTTTTTTCCACTCCGGCATAATGGAAAGGAAAGGAAAATTGGTTGCCACATGTTAAAATGTTCTCCATGTGAATTATTCTTGGTGCAAACTGAAAAAATGTTGCCAAGATAAATTTTTGAATTTCTCCGTAAATTTCACACCAAATTTTACAAAATTTAAAATCTAGGCATAATTTGAGTCGTAGAACTGATATATGAAAAAAATATGGTATGTTATTTAATGTGATTTGTTTCAAAATACAATGCTATATATAAATCTAATAAATATCCTAAGTCATACTTTCAAGACATTAAAAACAGCATTTGAATTTTGTCAATCTGCCCAGTAGAACGGGAGATATAGAACTGTTCCTTCCCCCCCTTTTTTGCGCAGTGTACATTTCCCATAACATATACAAAATTGCATCTCTGGCAAAATAAAAATTTATATTTAAAGACTTAACTATTACATTCAACTGCAGCTTCATCGGATAAAACACTGTTAATTAAATACACTAGGTACGGCACGAAGTCACCAAATGTGCAGCAAATTGGAGGAAACAAATAACCACGGGCAGTTTGGTGCATATGGATAACTTGAAGGATAGAATGAAAAGCTGTGAAAAAGTCTTTCTAGTGTTGTATGTGCAGGGTTCGTACACATTTCCTTATATGAAAATTAAGGACTTTTAAGGACCATCAAAGAAAAAATTAAGGACCTATCAGAAAACAAAAAAAATGAATAGAAAAAGCAATTATCCATACAACCGACTTCATGCTTGTAATTTCACTTTAAAAAACTAACATAAGTGTGTATTATGCACTATTATTAAATTCAATTTAATACTTACCATAAAACAATTTTGAAAATTAAACTAACTCCCTACAAGTTATGAAGTAGATAACATTAAATTAGGAACATAATTTCTTGAAAAACATGTATAAGTGTATTTTACACTAATAACAGTCACTATTTTAGAGATTTACATGATTATTATTTGATATTTATTTAAACACAGTCAACTACTATTATAATCACAATGTAAGAATATTTTGCAGATTAAAATAACTGATTTGTAAACATACAATTTATTTCCTTGGTTTTTTGAAAGATACTAGAATAATAAACTGTACAATAAAAGATACAAAACATTTGTGCTTTTTTTAAATCTGAAATCTTCCTTTTCTTTAACTATTCTTCTAAGTTCATTTGCTTTGATAAACAAATCAATGTTCCTGCTGGTCTCAGCTTCATCTGCTAAAGCATCTACTTCTTCATTAATATCTTTAATGTCCCTTTGAAGAAATTTTTTTCTTCTGCTTCATATAATCAATTTCTTCCTCAATAATAATATTTCTTTCCCTCTTTGAATTTTCAGGTTTAGTTAAAGATTTGTTGTTCTTCTAAATACTGAACGCTCTTCTAAATACTGAACTTCTAAATAATGAACTCCACTTCTTGCAGAAGCTGCTGCTGATCTCATTTCTTTATTAATTTCGGGCCCACCAGCGGCCGAGCGGTAAAGTCGCTGAACACTGGTAGTTCGGTCCGAGGTTCGAATCCCGCGAACGGGCTGGCTGCATGGGTGTTTTCGTGGTTTTCCCCATGTGTAACGTGTATACGAGCCAGTTTCCCTTAGAAAGTCCTCCACGAAAGGCATCCCTCCTCTTAGGCAGATAGCCCTAGTGTGCTTTGCCATAATTAAATACACACACACACTTTATTAATTTCGATATTAAGAACACCTCCAGAAAATTTTATGTAATCAAATACTGTGCGTTGAAAAATGTATGATGAGTCACTTAAATTTTCAATTTCAATTGCTTTATTTACAGAGAAGCCCCTTTCCACAAAGGCCTGTTCATGTGACAAGATAAGAATACTTGTCACAGTGAATACTTGAATAGTGAAAATATACATTTTTTACTATATATATATAATTTATTTCCTAAACAATATTGATTAATTGATTATATTATCTCCTAAGTTTAATTAAAGTAGAATTATTTTAAAAGAGTGAATCCATACTGGTAAGTTATATTTTGAAAGATGTATATATATATATATATATATATATATATACAGTACAAAGTCCGAGATCCGGACATCTAATATCTGGAATGATCTAAAATCCGGACCTCAAAGCCACCACCAACCAATTGCGCATTAGATTTTTTTCCTCATCATAAAAAAACATGCCGGAAATCCCGATTCTTAATCTCAGTTTGGCGCTAAATAAAATATCTCATTATTGAAGAAATAATTATTTTAGCATAAATTTGTGTGATTAGTAACTTGACTCCATAGCTGCGTATCTGCTTGGCATAATCTCAAAACCGAAACATTTGTTAATTTTACACCAACTAATATTTTATATCCTTGATGCCGAAATCGCGAATCATTATTTATTGTATTTTGCTTTCATCACCGCATGTTTATCAACGGATGACAACTTGAGTGATGAATCATGCAGCGATGCCCAAATAACAGAGTATTATCCGATTACAGATTTAAGTTTAATGCGCTAAAATGTTGACAAGGGGAGATTTAGCAGAAATTTTCTTTCCTTATGCTAAAAATAGATTTTGTTAATGA